ATATCTGTGTAAGCGCGTGCGTGCATACGTGCGTGCCTGCGCGCGTGCATATCTGTGTAAGCGCGTGTGTGCCTGCGTGCGTGCGTGCCTGCGTGCATATCTGTGTAAGCGCGTGCGTGCCTACGTGCGTGCCTGCGCGCGCGTGCATATCTGTGTAAGCGCGTGTGTGCCTGCGTGCATATCTGTGTAAGCGCGTGCGTGCCTACGTGCGTGCCTGCGCGCGTGCATATCTGTGTAAGCGCGTGTGTGCCTGCGTGCGTGCCTGCGCGCGTGCATATCTGTGTAAGCGCGTGCGTGCCTGCGTGCGTGCCTGCGCGCGCGTGCATATCTGTGTAAGCGCGTGTGTGCCTGCGTGCGTGCCTGCGCGCGTGCACATCTGTTTAAGCGCGTGTGTGCCTGCGTGCGTGCCTGCGCTCGTGCACGTCTGTGTAAGCGTGCGCGTGCGTGTGCGCGCACCTATATTGACTTTGTATTTTGCTGTTCTGCTGTTTAACCTTTCCTGACGGCGTTTTCTCTTGGTGCGACAAAGCGCGTGAATCTGCGACAAAAAACACAGCTGTTATCTAGCGTGCTAATCTTCTCAATAGCAACCCTAAAAACCTACGGAAAAGTACATTTTAGTTGTTTCACCTTACGGATCGAAAGCGGCAGTTTCATGAGTGATTTTAACGACCTCGCACCAGACTATGGAACATCTCCTGGCATGCCCCCTATTACGAGAGCACTGTAGAATTGGAGACCATGGGGGGTTTCAACCACCGTGTCAGGTCCTGTGTGCAGTGGCTAGGTTGAGTAGAGTGTAGTGTAGATACAATAATGTAACCGAACAAGAGTAGGGCTATCTGCTCTTTTGCAGATTTCTACAGATTTTCGCGGATTTTGGACATGCTGTTCTATTCAGAATTCTGCTCCGTTTGACACCAAAACCAGTTTTATGCCATTTTTTTACGGGTAGCATCGCTATTTCATCTTCAACTTCCGGACTATTATCGTATCTAAGTGTAGTGTGGTGACCCGATCAGTAATGCCAATGAGTGCCTGGGGCCCGTTGTCAGAAACAAAATTAGTCTTAACATTAACTTTAACATAAACTTTTTCTCTTAGACCGTTGACATGCAGAAACGCTGTGAAGGTACCTGAATAGAAAATCGTAGCAGATTTCCACATAACAATACGAAACAAAGTGATCTCGACGATCTACAAGAAAATGTTAGTGTTAAGACTAATGTTTAGACTAATTTTGTTTCTGACAACGGGCTCCTGGCCTAGAGAAGCCTCGATCTCCAGAACACGTTACTGTCTACATGTAAAAAATGTTTCATACTAATCTTTCACATGCACCTGGAGTTTCGCAGTCCCTGGACGTTATTCCTCACGGACTGTCCAGTATATACGTAGAAGTAGAAGAAGTAGAAGTCGAGAAGAAGAAGACGTAGAAGAAGAAGAACAAGAAAAAATAGAAGAAAAAGAACAAGAAGAAGAAGAAGAAGAAGAAGAAGAAGAAGAAAAAGAGTCACGACTATACCCTGTGTCAGCACAGCTCGCGTACCTTCCTCTCCCGGCGGGGCGCACGTCAGCGCCGTGGTGAACTGAGCCTCGGTGAGGGAGCAGGGTAGGATACACGGCCCGTACTTGTTCCCCACTAGACACTGTGGGAGAGAAGAAGAAGATCCGTGAAGGGGATGCTTAGGGCGTGTTTGTTTGGTCGGATCCATGTATCTCGATCCACTGGATCGAACCCTAACCCGAACAAACGCAAACTCACTTTCAACGGTTCGCGTTTCGCTGTGACCTATCACGGGATGGTTCATAACAAAGAAAAAGCTGTGATTGGCTGAGGCGCGGGCCGCCATATTGGATCCCCTTCGAATCCACCTCGCTAGCAGGGTTGGGTTGCGTGATTTTTTTCCCTAGGATAATCAAGAACATAGAGCTCTAGTGAGCGCTGCCATTGGTTGAGCTTGTTTCGTCGCTCAATGACGTCACAGTGTCGTCATATTCATAGCACATCCATAATACATAATTACAATAATCCTGAATAGCCGAATGCGTATAGCACGGACGTCACGGCTGAAAGGTCGTTGGATCGAATCCCGTATGTTTTTTAATTATTTTCCTGTTTTCTGTATTTTTCTATCTTTATCCATTTAACTATTTTTTTCCAATTAACTCAAATATTTACATAATTTATTTACAACAATTTAATAACAACAATTAATTTTTACAAGAATTAAAAAACAAATTTAAATATATTTTTAAATAGGGTTAGGGTTAGTGTTAGGGTTAGGGTTAGGGTTAGGGTTAGGGTTAGGGTTAGGGTCACAATGCACTATAAAACAGGAGTTTGAGGCACGTGATTTGTATCAACCAATGGCAGCGCTCACTAGAGCCCTATGTTCTTGATTATCCTAGGAAAAAAAATCACGCGGTCGAGTTCAGTGGATCGAGATCTGTGGATCCGAACAAACAAACACGGTTAGATGAGTGAAGGCACCAAGCGTGCGTGTGTACGGGGCCGCACACGACAACGTAAATATACACACGAGGATATACACGCATGACGCGGGGTCGCTTACACTAAGATAATTAAACGTTAATAAAACGATAATTAACGATAATAAACGATAATTGAAAGATAATGAAACGTTTCCAACAATGCTCCTAATACAAATAGCAAATTCTTTGAGCGTAACTCGCGTCTCTTACCAACAGGAAGGATCGCTTACCAACAGAAAGGATAGCTTACCAACAGGAAGCATATCATACCCAGTAGGAAAGATAGCTTACCAACAGGAAGGATAGCTTACCAACAGGAAGGATAGCTTACCAACAGGAAGGATAGCTTACCAACAGGAAGG